CATTTAAAGCTTTAGAAGTAAAATTGTTGAAAGAAGCCCCATACTCTGGGATGGTCTGATTCTTAGCTTTCCACACCACACTCTGTGACTGTGTGAGGCCAACTGGTTACGGATTTGTCACCGACCTTTTCCCGCTGACAGGTATCAGAAACTGATGATGAAGCCACAGTGGAAACCAAGAGATGGGCGAGGGAACTTCTAGTGGAAGCTTCGATCTTTAACTTTACGCCCAGTTCCATAATTGTGCTTTCAACATACTTCCTGCTGCCCATTTACACTTCAGCAGGGCTAAAACGTATTTTTAGCTTCATTTCCATGGAAATGTGCACTTTGCCCTTGATTGATAGATGCATTTTGACAGTTAATACAGGTTTATCCAGTCAAGGTGAAAATGGGAGAGGAAAAACAATGACGTCAACAGATCTCAGTATTACTCTTTTTATTGCATTCGTTGTCTAACAACAATAATACTCATTGGCAAGAAATTTATTTACACTAACAAATTAAACTTAATCACGCGTATTTTTAGATTGGTCAGAAAACAAAGGATATCTTGCTTCGAATGCCTCTGAAAACCAAAGAGTAAGAAATGTCATTTGAAATGGAACAATCTAGAGAAATACATATTAACCAAGCACAGAGAACAATTCGGACGTGGCACTATTGTCTCTTCCATGCAAATGATTGGACACCGAAAGGTACAAATCAAGGTTCAGATAACATGCTATCCATATTTATTGGACTTAAAATGACTTTCAAACAACTTTTTTCCTTTATATAAAGAAAGATTAAAATAAACCAACTTCTTACAATGGGACAGAATTCATTCTCTCTCTTTTTTTATTTTCAGCCGGCCAGTTTGTTAGTCATATGCAGCACGTGTACTTGTGGTTCCATTGTAACACCATTAAAAAATACAAAAGCAGTAGTGATGACCATAAATAATATTAAGGAAAACATACACATAAATATTTAAGAGATTTCACTAAGCTCTAACGAAGTCTGATGTTGTTGGGAGGTGTTTTCTAGCCGGAGTGCTTCCTGATTCCCACTTTTTAATGTAATTTAACTATCTTTGGCCAATTGTTCTTTCACAGACGAAAGATGAAATCCTTAACAGAGAACCTGGGTGTGTCCATAAAACAGCCAGAGAACTAGAAGTATACACCTTCCAACAACATGCTCACACTCATGTCCATTTGGCAATGACCCAACCAGGCCATCACTCAGCAAAAGGGGAAGTAATGGTCATGGGATGACAACGCTGCCATCAGAGAGCCAGTAGTTAGTGGCTTATGCATCACAGCCACCAAAAATGTCATATTTGAGCATGAGCAAGTGCACAAGAACACACAGTGCGGTTTTTAGCAAAGGACACTGCGGTTCGCAGTTGAAAATGCCTGAAGCTGCATAAATTTCTGAGTTTCAGCTCAGCGATGTGCAATTTCGACATCAAAGCATTAACCAAACATTTGAGGAAACTTTATCTTACTAAAATACCAAGTTTCTAATAAATCAATTTTACCAAAATATATAGACATATAGAAGGATTAAGTGCATTTAGTAGAAGAAATACATTAAAAAAATCTTTTAAAAGCTTATGAGCCATTCAATGTATACACAACACAAACAGTGGCAATAAGGCTATGATTACTGCTGGGGGTTCTCACTGACAACACCACGTTCCAAAGACAGCATCTGTTTGTTGAACGCCATGTCATTGCGGTATGTGTGTGCAAGGTGAGAGAGATATTCACACGTATGTAGTCTGTGTAGCGACACAAGTGGCATGCACAGTGTTGAGAAGTTGCCTCTTGTTCCCTTATCCCTTGCCTCTTATTCATTCTTGAATCTTTAGCGCTAAAGACTGGGGTAGGGCCAAGGATGGGAAATCAGCATGTACTTGCCTTCCCCACTCTATAGATTTGGAAGTGGGTCACGTGCTGTACTTGGTCCACACACGTATGTATGTGAGCCTTCAAGTAACAATCATTCCCTCAACGCATCACGTAAGGCTCCTCTGTTCACCCCTGGGGAGAACTTGAGGCTTTCATTTCTCAGGGGGACATGGATCCTTTAGGCTTCTTCTTTGCCCTCTGACTTCTTGGTTGGGTCTGTTCTATACTCCTACTTTGTTATGCAAATACGACTGGTGTACTACTGGTGTTATTTTTCCCCCCAGTGTTTTGGACCAAGATTCAGTTTCCTGAGACTTTAAATAACTAAGAAAAACATAAATAAAATCTGCCTGCAGACTACGGTTGTTTTTCAGGAGTGAATTGCAGCAACCACATTCATATTTCTTACAACCCTGTTTTCTTTAGAAATTTACTTTCCAGCCCATCATCATAATGAAAACAATTCTAGAAAATATGGACATTTTCCTTCCCTCATCCTTCAAGGCTTAGCTTCAGAATCGTTTACAGGTAGATCCTTGATTAAAGTACATTTGAACATTCAGAAGCCACTCAGGACTCAAGTAGGTGACATGAACCCTGGTGCTGCTGTCTCTCAAACGGAAGTGCCCCTCATCTGCCGCTCTTGGGACAGTACCTTCAGTTACTCCGATGGGCTTTGGTAATTCTTAAATACCTCAGTGTAATGAGGGGGCTACCACACATTCAAAGTGTAGTTGCTTCTTTAAAATTGTTAAGACACCTCCCTTTAGAATCTTCTTAAATCCCATTGTTAAACGCATGGTTTTCTCTCTTTAGGCTTGGTCTACATAACCTTTAACACTTTATAAATAAATCAGAATATCCAAATAAATGCAAAATTTACCTTTTAAAATGTATTTGAAAGCACATGTTAATCCAATGGCACAAAGAACCTAGATGAGAATTATTTGTCTTCAGCAAAAACCATAGGGCTAATTAAAGGCAAACAATCTGTGATTATATTTGAAGCTTGGACCTTGGACATTTTAAGATTTCAGACTAGAGATGACAGCAGAATAACAGGCAGCGGCAAGGGTTAATTTGGTTCCTCACTCTTCCTCTTGCCACTGTGATAACAGGAGCACCAGGTAGGTGTTCCCATTTCCTCCTCGTTAAAAGCTGAGGTTGGCATTAGCGCTGGAGTTAAAAATGCTTATGTGTCATTAAGGGTAGGAAATTCATCAAGCCCCAGCTAAAGAAAGACAGCACAGAATAGCTTTATTGTCAAAAAACTAGAGGTGGACTTCATCAGTCTGCTAGAAGGGGCAAAAGTTGGTTTCTGACCTAACATCACTCTGAAGTTAACTTCTAATTTAGGAAGAAAGAGAGGGAGAGAGAGAGAATATGAATGAGAATGAGAATGAGAAAACTATACATGAACTGTGAGTTACTCTTAAAGAAAGTAATTCTGTTACAAAACTAAAGTCCTTCAATGGAAAACCCTGACCCAGACACTCCTCACCACACACCACCTGCCCTCCCCAAAGCATTACCTATACCCCCAACACTTTTGGCTACTGTCAGAGTCAAATAGAGCTGTCGTTTAGAGAATATAACCAGATATTCCCTTTTTGTTCATTTTCTGATAAAGAAAAAACTGCAAAGTCTTAAAGGTTCATGAAGCAACAATTCTGTGTTAAATTGCACGGACACTGAAAACCACTAGCATTAGAGCAGGAATTGTGTACGGCACTGGTACCTCACTTAGGCATCATGCACTAGAGTTGATAAAAAAAATAAAAAAAAAGTAGGAAAACAAAATGCTCCCAAGTCCTGAGGCCCTTCACTGTTTTCATGACCTTTCACCAGTTACATTTTATCCTTTTCTGGACAATCAAATCAAGTGCCTCTTATAATTTCAGCAGTTTTAAGTAGTAATGTTAAAAATAACTCATTCAGATTAAAATTACTATAATTTAAGTTAAAAAATCAAAATAGTTATAACACAAATGAAATGATTTGGAAAAAAAAGAATGTGATTAATAATATTGTCAGTTGGTCAATAATCTAAACATCCGAAGTATACAGATACACTGAAAACTAAGAACAATATTTGAAGACTTTTAAGAAAATGCAATATAATAGATCATAAATTATGTGCAGAGACTGAAACTTACAGGCATTTCCAGTATTTACATCCATTTTCAAATATTACCAAAGTGTAAACATAAGATAATCATCCTTCCGTTTTCATCCTTAAAATGAATACAGTGAAATTTCCAGTGTGATCTAGATCACTTTTTTTTCAAAGATATGCAAAGATGGCAAAAATGTACAATAGCAAGCACTAGTATTACCACATTTTGACTAATTTAGTCTTTTAGTATTAGAAAAGGTTTGCTGGAATTGGTAGTTCAGTAATAGTGGTTCCTTGTTTCTCATGGTATTAATAAACAGCAAAGCACCACACATATCAAAATATTAATAGAATATCCAGTATGGCGGCTTCATTATCATACCCCAAAATGAAGACAGACAGAGAAAATATACATAGTGACGGGTAACTGTAAAACACAGCGAGTGATCTATACCTGGTGACAGAAGCACTGAAGCCAAACAGGCAATATTCTGCCACTAAAAAGGAGGCAGGCCTTCAGGAAAGAACTGAATTGTGAATTTCTAGTTTAGAATATTCCAGATTTCCCATATTCAGACAAGCAAAACACAAAAACAAGCAAAACACAATGTTCAAAATAAGAGATGGAGCTACATGGGCTGGAGCCCTTTACATGGTCTGTTACCTGTAACCTCCGAAAGTGCCCCCAAGCTTTGTGTATGTAACATTTCCAGTGCAAGATATGGACTGAGACTCTCCACCCAGAAAAGGAAGTAAAATACTTGTCAAAGACTTTGTCTGCCCTCAACTCTTATTCTGGAACCTGTCCCTTGGAAAGTGGGTGACCTCATTTTTAGGGCCAATGCAGCAAACAGAACCAGATACATAAACATAAGGAGCAAAACAACATCAACAAAAAGATCCATTATTTGAAATTTCTCAAGATGAGTTATAGTTTCTCCTCCTTCTGCCTTAGTCCCTGGCATTTGAATTAGTTTGACGAAATGTTGAAATCCTTAATACTGGCTTTAAAATATGAGCTCACTGCTAGACTGTATTCTGGGTACTATCTTAAATAAACTTTAACTTTAAATGAAGATCCCGAAAGAACGGAAGAGAATGGCTCAGAAAAACCATTCAGAGCATCTCTAAATATAACTGACAGCTCACCTTTATGGGGACATTCTGTGTGCTCAGTCAAATTGCTTCTCTAGTTGCATGTTACTCAAATCTAAGTTTTCTCGAACTGGTATTTCTATTGTTTTTAAAAGTACATTTGTTAAAATACTAGCCGAGTCCACTTGGGAAATCTTGAGTTGAAAATATGTGACGAGTTCCCAACTGTGTCATCGTCGGGCTGCAGACGAACCAGAATGTTCCCCGGGAGAGGAAACCTGAAAACGTTGGTTTCCTTAAAAACCAATTTCCTGTTCAATTTGTTGGGGAAAGGAATTTTGTTGTGTGTGTCAGTGTTGCTGACAAACTGAGGTGCTGCAGTAGCAAAGCAAACAACAGATCCCCATATCCCATGGCTGCATTCATGTCAGCTTTTTCTTTTGTTTGGCTAAATCTGGAAGATCAATATTATCCTCAGAATCCCAAGGTCACTCCACATCCATATTCTTAAGGCTTTTGCTTCCTTCTGGGGTGAACACATACTAGAATTCTTTTCTCTCCTTCAGATGCCCAGCAAGTAGAACAGTTTGCTCAACTTCTGCCACGGGCAGAGCACCCACGTTTCCACAGTGGGGTTGTCTCACTGTCCAGACACAGAAATAACGGGGACCTTTCTCACACTTTGGAGTGGATCCTGCAGCCCAGACCTCATGGCAGGAGGGCGCTCAAGCCATGCAGACATACACAAACACCCAGGGTCAGGACCCCATGCTGGACATCCATGGCACTCCATTTCACAACATCAGGGTGGGTCATGCTCTTGTTGGGCACTGTCATGCTGGTTTTCCAAGTGACACACGCACCCACCCAACACAACACAAGATATTGGTAAGTCAGAGAAGAGGGAAACATTTGCAGCTCTCACAAATGAGCTCCTTGGTTTGTTAAGAAACTAAAGGTGGCTTGGGATTATTTAAGTAGGTTAAAATGAAAGGAATTCTATTATCACAGAAAATGCAGGTATTCGACACCAGGTTCCCCAGTCTGCCTACAGCACATTTCCCCCGTCATCAGTTTCTTCTTCATTCCCCTGGAGGAGAGCGGGGCAGGAAGAGGTGGGCCCTCTCTTGGTGCACCCTCTTCGCCTGGAAGAGGGTGTGTTACTGCTCCCCAGCACCCTCTATTGCCATCTTTTCTGTCTTTCTACATTTCCTCTGCATCTGCTCTTGTTCCTTCCTCCTCAGCTTTTCTCTCTGCTTTTCCATTTTCTCTTGAGCCTTCCGAGCCTTCTCTAGAGACACCTTCATTTCCTTGAGCTTTTTCTTGACCACTGCTCGGTCCTGCGATGATGCCATTCCAAGAGCCTTAAGAAGGAAATATAAACAAACTGAATCTGAAAACCAGTGACTTCTTTGCTTATGATGAGGCCGATATCGCAATATGTTCTAACTCAAAAAATAATTTAAACACAATTGAGGTGAAAACTAAAGAAGAGCTGATTACATTTGCCAAAAATATACAAGCTTTATTTGCTCTTTTGTTCTTTGAAGTCCCTAGCACAGTATGCCCCAAACCTTGCTAAGGAATGCTTTCCAGATTGGTAATTAATGGGTGAATGAATGAAAAAAGGTCACAATTCTGCTTCTCCAACCTTTAGGTTGTAGACATTTACAGGCAAAAGATAGGAGTGGGCCCCTGCTGCCACAGAGGGCTCCCGGAAGGGCAGGAAGAATCGACATGGCTTCCTTTCTGCCAATGTATTCATTGACAGTGAGGACCCAAAATGTATTTAGCACCAGAATGCTCATGTCAGCAGACTAGCCATTCGCTCCCTGTAGGCAGACCTATAAAGGAAGCCTGATTATAACAAGAGGGTTGCTCAATTAGCTTGGAATTCAGAATATGGGGAATTGGTTGCATAGTACTTTAAATGCTTCATGACCTTCAGCATCAACAGCGGGATGCATCCATCTCCGCAGGGGGACAGCCTTGTCAATGGACTTCCATATTTACAGGCTATTCATTGATCTCTAACCTTTTCAAGATTGTCACAAGATACTCATCTGCCCGTCCTCCCAGCAGGGACTGAGGTCAGGGGTGGCAAGTTGGCTGTAAGCTCCTTTTGCCCTTTCTCCGCAGGGATGGGCGCCACCTCAGCCTCTAAAGAGATGGACTGGACAGGTGAACATGAGAGAGCAATGGACGGGGAGGGAAGACACTGCCGCACATATTTGGGGAAGGAAGTTCTGGGGAAAACATCATCCCGGTTTTGGAGTGGTCCCTGGTGTGCAGGGACGAGTCGGGATGGAGAGGATACACGAATAAAGAAGGGGAGGTTCATGGACTTGGGTTTTAACTCTTATGTGATGAAAGAGTCCACATTGGCCATTATTAAAACTCATACTACATGGAAGTAAGTAGAGTTAATACATGGGCCATGTGTTGCTAGGTGGAAGCAATGGAGTGAGTCCCTCCCTCTCCTACTCGGAGCCTACTCTTTAGATCCCCTAATGACTTTCTGAACCTGCATTTACTACGAAAACAATCCACCGTCCTTCCTGCCGACGGTTGATGAGAATTACCTCTCCCATATGGAGAATGCTCTTATTTAAACGAAGACATTTTAGGTGCTATGAGCAATACAAGTTATGCTTGGTAACCTAACACAGACATATATAATTCTTTACCTTCAGTTTATTTCCATCCAACTGCAGGAGTTGCTCTCCAGTGATGTTTTGGGCACTGAATTCAGATACATACTGCTCCAGATTTAGGCTCATGAGCCAGTGAGAAACCTGCTGCACACTCCACTCCTGAACGGCCCGATTCTGACACTGACTGTGCTTGGGAGACTGTCCGTCATCAAGGATCTGAGGTAGGAATGTCACGCAGTGTTGTTAAAGGGCTGAAGTGCTATGGCTCAGCATGGCATATTGCGCTATCCAAAGGAATTTCTTGTTTACTAGAGCCATATTTATTTTTAAACCATAGAATGATAAGCTAATGGTTCTAGTTGTGTATGTAACACACATACATGTTTATTACCTACATGTTTTTAGATGCTTGGAAACCTAGAAACTCCCCTAAATAAAACAGCATTTTCAATGTAGGAAGTTTAATATTGACAAATCCACTCTACTGTTGCAAGCTTTTACATGAAAACACTTTGGAAAGATTATCAGATGCAGAAAACAAATATGCCATTTAATCCCTATAGACAATACATCACTCTGCATTTCTCCTCTGCTAAGACATTAGAGATATGTAAAAACACATTTAAAAGTATTGTGGCATCTTTCACTTAGGAGAGCAATGAACCCTCAGGTATTTTTAGGGGTAAATTTCACCGCCATTATTTCACTTGCGCAGCAAGCAAACCATGAGGGCAGTGGGGCAGGAGGTATCCATAATTACTTTTAATAAATGAGGAAACTGAGGTTCTGAACATCTACAGATCTGTCCAATGCAGAATATTACTTTTAATGGTGCAAAGGGCAGGTTGGTTCCTAGAACCACTACGCTGAGAGGCGATGAGGCGATGATGGGTCTGGGAGGAGAGACAGACGCTACCTCAGTGACGGGCAGAGAGAACAGAAAAGGGGATGATGGGTAAGCCGAGATGAAGGCAAAGGAGGCGAAACAGAGGGAACTGGGTCAGTCAGGTAATGGCGATGGGGACACATCACGGGACTCTGGAGGTGGGATCTGGAGGTCCTCTTGAACTAGGAATATCTTTTAAACTGAGACATACACAAGGGCAGAGTGAAACTACGTTAACACAAGGAACACCCCCAATGCAGAGGAAGTGCTCTTGTATTGTTTGAGTTTTCAATCATCTGCAAAGAGAGAAAAGGTTCAAACAAAATACCAAAAACCACCACACAGCCCACTGATAGCTCACCTCGTCATCTATCATATCCAGGCTCTGAGTGAGGGAGCAACAAAGGAATCAAAGAGAAAAGTGTTACAGAAACAGGACACGCAATATATACAGTACAGTCTTATAAAATTAAAGTCACGCTGAGCCTGAAGAATATGGGCAAAGAGTTTAAGAGAAAAAAATGTTTTACAAAACAAAACAACATGTTAGAAATAACTAAGAACACATATTTAGAGCAAAACTATCTTTACTTACGATGCCTCCCTCCCTCCCTCCCTTCCACTCCAATACTGGTATTTCTTTCCTTATCTCTTGGGGCACTAAGTCCATCACTAGTGTAATTTCCTGCCTCTCTTGCATATATTTATCTCCTGAGAATTCTTAGGAATGCTATTTTGACCCTCGCATCTAAATTTGTGGTCTGACACAGTTGTCCTTCCTTCTCAGACTTGTATCTCTCCCCTTTTCACTGCAGTGAATCTTAATCAGGAGCCACACCCAACTCAGAAGAAATATCAGATTCTTCGGGTGGGCGTGACGGTGGGAAAGGTGAGGGAGAAAAGCAATGGTGAATTGCTTAGAGCTCCGTGAGATTTCTGAGATGTTTCCTACTTTTGCTCTCCAGTGCCCAGCCCCCCGCCCCGACACCTTTGCTAAGAGTCATGGCTCTGGAATCAGAGAAAGGCCGAGATATAGTGTATAGTAAGGGATGGCTCCAAGGGCCTCTGAAACAACAGTTTGCTTTCATGTTGAGACAGAGAGGGAGACACCAATTTCCTAGCAAAGATCATGGCTCTCCAATTATCCACATGCAAAATCTACCTTAGACACATTTCCCTGTGACAGTTCACGGGTAGAACATATGTCGGGGATAGCAGTTCTGTGAGGGGCATGAGCATACCTCATCTGATGACAGCGCTAGGGACTGAGAGAGCCCCGGGGTTCTGGGCTCCGCTCCTAGGCCGCTCAGGTCTGCCGAGCTGGTGCTACTGGGACTGAAGTCATCATTGAAGGTAAAATTCTGTAACAATAAACGAAGCTCAGGGTTAAAAGAGCACCGTGAAGGAACCCAAGGTAGGTGTGCTTGCAAGTTCTAAAAAGGTTATTTTGAAGTAATCTCATTAAGTTCACTTTGGGGTTGGTGATGACCTTCGACCAGGCAGTGTCGGACACTGCACCTGTGGTGAATGGGGGATTCTGAGCGCTTCTCCGCCGGGTGAAAGGATGGGTGTTTTGGAGTAATGATTCTGCAGTCTCTCTTCAAGGGTGCAGCATTCATTATCCTCTGCAACTGCTCAGAGGAGTGATATTAATGAGCCTATCTTCTTTGACCCTAATGGTAATGAGCAACAGTGTAAGTAAAAAATGCAAGGTGGTGTGGAGAGCCTGAGCTATTAGGAACAGATGGCAATCCCTATTAGAAAGGAGCCGAGCACCCCCAGAAGGCCCGCCGCTGCCGCGATAAACACTGTGAGGAATGGCAGGTCCTCTTCAGGGCGTGACCGTCAAAGATGGTGGGTTCTGGGAGGTCACAACCTGACTGCACTACCTGCGCCAGGACAACGCTCACGTGGCACCAGCGAAGCCCAAGGAGGCTGCACTACGAGCAGACACATGCTCCCAAATAGTTACCTGGGGGTAGAAAGAAAACTTCCCCAGAACCTCATTAAAATGTTCAGTGGATATTAAAGTCAAATACGTTCCCAATGACTTCAGAGCTGCCTCGGTGAAAACATTTTAAACCAAATCTGGAGTCCCTCCAGTGTAAGATAATGGTAGAATTATTCAAACAACATTGAGATATATCAGATCCAATGCTGAAAATGTTTCAAGGCCAGAGTGGTCTACTGCTGTCAAAACTTCTTTTCTAATTGCTTCCCAGGGACTCTCAAGAACTTGGCCAACCCCATCTTGTTTCCTATTCCACTGCCTTAGAAATTGGACTGTCAGTTTTCCATTAGGTTTTCTTGTACTGGCTGAGCTGGCTGTCAAGAATAAATGCCATGCCAGAGGCTGGAGAGCTCAGTACCAAACAGACTGCAGGGTTTGCGGAATGTTCGGAGAAGACTGAATCAGAGCACGGAGCTGGGCTAGTAGAGCGTTTAAGCAGGAGGCATTCAACACAGCGCATTACCACTTGGTACTGTCAGTGGAAATACAACCCCAAAGCCCACCAAAACCCTGTGAGTTGTTGACCACAAGAAAAGAATTAAATTCAAGTAACTTTAACCACATGTTTCTGTTTGAGAAAGAAAAGTGAACACAGATAAAAGGAGACCACACAACATGTGAAAGTTAGCCACCGCATGTGTTTCAATAACATGTTAGGTAAGGTTTGCAGTGTCATGCTGGAAATAACCACCATGCATTTAAAAACAAGCAGCATCCATGCACATACTTCCTAATTCTGCTAAAGTTAAAGAACTTTCGTGATAGAATTACAACAGCTGTTCGACATGGAAGCTTGATTTAAGAGAAGAAATAAGTAAGGGTGCTATGTCAGCATGGGTTTGTTTTAAAGAGTTTCATTTAGATGTATTGAACACATATCCAGTCCCAAATTTATCTGTTTTCCAGTAAATCTTGACGAGCGCAGCAAAAATAGTTTGGTAATGTAATTTAAACTGGAATGCTTGGTAAACAGATCTATCACACTGTGCCATGATTCAAATGCATCTTTCCCAGCATGGTTTCACTGTCAAACAGAGATTAAATAGCAATATGTGAAAAGACAGGCAAATCGAAGATTAACGCACAATCTAGCAGGGACCAGTATTAAAGAAGGTGATGGTTAGAGGGGCTCTCTGTTCCCCACACGGGAAGTACCATGCACTGTTTATTGCAGTGTTATCACATTGGTTTCTTGGATCCAGAGCATACACACAAGTTGAGAATGCTTCCCAAAGATTGAAGAGGAGGAAGAGATTTGGGGTTTTCTTGTTTGCTTTTTTAATCCAAGTGTTTTCTACCTTGGACCCCTTTTTATCTGAAATTAGAGTTTCAGGAGAAGGCTGGAGGGGACTTGGAGGTGAAGGCAGGTTCCTGAAGGAATAGGATCCTTTCCGGCTTTCGTGAAACCAGGAGAAAGGCATGCAAGGTGAGCGAGGGGAGGCCGGCGCTGCGGAGGAGGGCTTCGCTTTCCAGTGGTCCAGCCGGCCTCTGAAGATCCTGTTTCATGAAAAGAATGGGGTGTTAGACAAAGAAAGGGCAGACGTGAAACTGACAGAAATGAACCCTGAAGGGGCTCCGAACACAGTTCGAAGTAACAATTTGAGAAATTGTCCTACACAACAGATACTTTTTTTCTTTCACTTTTGACTGGAACATTAATCCTAATCATTATGGGTTGTTGTTTTTTGTTTTTGTTTTTTTGTTTTTTTTTTTTTGTTTGTTTTTTTTTTTGCGTCTAAATGGATTCTGTAATGACAGACGTTTTGTACTGCTATGTCCGTGATAAATTTTTATGAAATATGCCTAATAAATACAGGGATGGGCAAAAAGTTAGGTCTGCAGTTATTTGTATGGAAAATAACACAACAATTAATACATAGTAATGCAAGAATAAACCGTGTTTCACGTACTCACAACCGTACACTTACTTTTGCCAGTGCCTGTGTATGTGGATGAATTACCATCCGGGAGGAGCTTGTCGTTCAGGAGCTGCTCTGAGGTTAGTCACCACAGCATCCCCTAATTGGAGACACACACCAGTGCCTCCCTGCTGGTGACTTTAGCTCCTGGTGAGCATTCTTTCCTGGCCTCCTCTCAACTCAGATTCCCAGGGGTCTCAACTTTAGAAAAAGATGTACTTAAATAACTTGGAAATTTCAGGGCTCAGGATACTTTAAGCAGAACATACACTTGGTTGGTTTTTCATCATAATCTTAGTGCCGTTTCATAGAAGGAGCACCAGACCTGAAGTCTTAATACTCTGCTTGGAGGTCAGGGTCTGCCACCTTCTGAACACAGGACCATGGCCCTTTGCTCAGCCTCTATTCCCTTATCTATAAAAGAGGGATGTTTTATGTATATCACATGTGGTTAAGAATTAAATGAGACAGTATGTGTAAAAAGTACTCTGAAAACTATAATGGTCTATGCTTACTGTTTAACATTCAAAAGCATTTGAGAACACAGTTTGAAACATGTTTTTCTTAATATCTTGCATTAGAGAAAAATAATTCTTAGGAACTGAGGCAGGAATGGGCAGTAGTATCTGCATCTTGGAAGAGGTCACCCTCAAAATGTCCAAATGATACTTGATGCAGTGCCTACAATTTGTTAGCAGTTGATGTGATGACAACGAAGAGATTCTCTTTCATTTAAAAGTGACTCAACACCTTAGCTAGATAGCTAACGTCTGACATGGATACTGAATTTCAATCTTCTCACATCTCATGTCAAATATTTTGAAATATGACATGTTTTAAATTTACCTGAATAGTATAACTCCTAACAATTTTTGCTCACTTCCAAAGATTATTGTGAGAATCAAATGGGACAATAAATGTAAAACCATCTTATAAACTGTAAAGCAATGTATAAATGTAAAGGGATTGTAAGAATGATAATTAAAGAGAATGAAAAATCAGTGAAGTTTTGGAAGAATACTGACATCATAGATTGGGGGTGAAAAACTGTTGGCCACACTAAAGATTCCAGAAAAGGGGATGATTTAAATGGTGTATTTCTTTTTCTTAGTGAATGGGAGCCATTCAATTTTTATGTTTTATTGATTTTTAGAGAGAGGTGGAGGGAATGAGGGAGAGAGAAACATTGATATGACAGCAAAACATCGACTGGCTGCCTCCTGCACGCCCCCTACCAGGGATGGAGACCAAAACCTGGAATGTGTCCTGACCAGGACTTGAACTGGCAACCTTTCAGTGCATGGGACGATGCCCAACCAGCTGAGCAACACCGGCCAGGGCTAAATGGTGTTTTTCTTAAAATGACAACAACAACAACGACAATAAAATCACATAGGAACCTGCAAGGATAACAGAAAGACTGACCAGAGAGGGGCCAACCTTCAATTTCATCTTAAAGTTTAAAAAAAATGTTGTATCCTTAAACCCACCTACTTCCTAAGAAACGATGGAGGAGAGGAGTACAATAACTGAGCTTAACGCATGCGAGCAGAGGCAGATTGGTCTTCTGTGGAAGTGCTTCCTGCTCCGGGGTCATGGACCAGTCTGCTAAGCATCACTAGGGCAGCTGTTCAAATGCAGATCCTTGGACACCCAGACTTACTGAATTAGAATTGTGAGAACAGAAGGGAGGAGTTGATCTGGATCTACTTTAACACATATCCGAGCTGACTCTTAAAAATTTTAATATCTATATTTATTAATATTATCCTGAATGCAAATATGAGGCTTTTGGAACAGAATAGGTTATTACATACTTACATAAAATTATTGCACTGGTTCCCCATACCATAATTTTCTCTCTCCATAACGAGAACCAGATGTCTTAAAGTTGGTCTACACTGTAGATGAGAAATGTAAAAAATATGAATCTGTACGGTTATATAGGAGAGGGCCAGCTGTCCCTGACTTGCCCTGAGAGGAGGAGAGAAATCCTATCTCCTCAATGTAAACAAATTCAACTTGGGAAGGATCTTGGGTTCTCTCAGCCTTTGGAAAGAAATATAAGTCCTGGGGGAGATAAACAAGTTATCTCAGGCTTTACAAGCTTGGGAATGTCTCCACAGAGAGGTCTCAGCCCCCTCTCCCATCTGCACTCCTTAAAAATGGAACCACACCTTGGGGAGTTGGCTCTCTCTGTCTATCCATAATTTAACTTCTGAGGTTTATCTTTTAGCTCAGGCCCTACATTCCATTAAAAAATGCTGAGAAAGCTCTAAAATAAAAATATTTTCTCAGTAGTCTCACACTCTTATAAGTAGGCATATCTGAAATAAACGGGACCTGATGATTTATTTTTCTCCTTTGGTTATAAATTTCTGAATCAATCAAAGTGACGTGGGAAATTCTTTAGGTGTTCCATCCACAATTTAAATAAAGCATTGTAGTGCTTTGATACATGGATACTGTTTTAAGTTATAAATAGGCCATTATCAATGACAGCTAAACTATCTTCCTATTCCCAAGTGGACTGCCTTTGTAACAACCCTTTTAGAACAACCACTACCACTTTTTTTTTTTTTGCAAGAAATAAGATTATTGGTATCTAATTTTTGTCATTCTAATGACTTATTTGGAAAGGACTTTTGGTAGTTCAAACCCTGGCCAGGCAACATTTCAAACAAAATCTGAAGACCACATCTAAACGCTGCCATAAAATTCTCGCTGCCAGGAAAATATCCAAGACTGATAATTCCAGTTGCACTTGGACATCCAGTGCTGAAGGCAGGCCGGAGGCCACAATGGGGGTGTGATGAAGGAGGTGAGGGAAGCCCAGCCTTGGTGATATCCAGAGGCTTTCTTAGACAGTGAAGATAATGGAAGGCAAGAGGAAAAGTCACACAGAAAGAATGCAAGCCCACTTCTAAGGAGATGGCCACATCCTCACAGCTGTAAACCACCGGTTCTGAGGTATTCTGAAGAATATTTTCCAATTCCCCAGGAGGTCTGGCTGTGCCCCGCTGAGGCTGTATCCTGCCCGCCTCGTTTATTTGTGTATCCTCGACTCTAAAACTCCCTCCATACACCGCTGTAACCTCTGTGTGTTTGCCAGGATCCACAAAGAGCTGAACAGGCATGCTTCCATCTGCTTGGATCTTGAGTAGGGAATGTTCATTTAAAAAAGTAAACTCTCCACTACTTTAAACTCATAGACCTATCAGCTTTCCAGACATGCTTTCTAAAATAAATGCCAATTTCCTTCCGGATAAATTCAACTATTGAGTCTACAAAAGTTGCACAGGAGTGTTTGGTAACGGTTATTCTATTATTGATCACTCTTACAGCCTGTTTCACTTGGTGGAGAAATGTATTACGAATAAGATAAAATTCTTCCTTCCCTCTTTTCCTTTCCTTCCTCTTTTCTTTCTTAACATTTTTTACCCTCAGGGCAGGTTATGGGCTAAGTACTAACTCTACATTCATCCTTCATAATCCCCATGAAAAATCAAGATCAGTGGATATGAATTCTTAATGGATCTGAAAAGAATTTCTAGGTATGTGCTCTGTACTTCCTTCACAGCTTGTACACTAATGGCTCACTGTCACTGAATCAAATCATAGCTATATTTCTGATTATTTTATTGTTAGAAACTGGAATGCTAAAATGTCATATGGGGGTGGGCGATGAGGTGGGGAAGTAAGTTTCCTGGCATTTAAATGGTTTATAGTTTACAGCTCCATAGAACAATTAACTCATTTATATACATCTTGGAACCAGATTATCCTGGGGCTAGGACCTCAAAAATAAATTGCTAAGGTAAACACTCCATGGTGATTTTGGGGGGTTGGTTTTAACTTTGAATACGAGGTAAATCAGGGCACATACCTAGGTTGTAGGTACAATCCCTGGCCAGGGTGCTTATGGGAGGCAACTGGACCATGCTTCTCTCTCTCTCCCTCTTTCTTTCTTTCTCTCTCTCTCTCTCTCTCTCTCTCCAAAAAAAAAATCAATAAAAACATAGCCTTGGATGAGGATTAAAGAATTCTTCTCTAGCACCCACATGAAAAAAATTTTTTAAGATAAAATTATTTTATAATGTTATTTAACGCAAAATATTCAAAGTATTATTTCAACATCTACTTAGTATAAAAATTTTAAGAAGATATTTAACATTCTTTTTTCTTATACTAAGTCTTTGAAATCTAGCATGCATTTTCTCTGATAACACATTTCAATATAGACTAGCCACATTTCAAGTGCTCAATGGCCACATCTGACCAGAGGCTACCATACTGGGTAATGCAGATGGAGATGGATGGGTGGTTGGGGACCAGGTTCTTCTAGTCCACCTCACTTATTTTTTGTAGGAAACCAAGGTCCAAGGAATTCAGAGACTTACCTATGGCAGAGTCAGGATGAATACTTGGGTGAATACTTGAATACCCAGTGGTGTGTTTTTTCCCATTGTTCACACTTTAGGTAAATGAAGACTCACTTCCCCAGAGAAGTGCCCTCTCCCTTCCCTGTCATTTTCCCATGTGCCACTCTCTAACCTAGTCCTGAGATATACAGATCTGCTCACAGGGCTTTCCATTCAGGGACTAAATTTAGAGGTTCTCCCACCAGCTCCAAAGGTTGGCAACTGCTGCTTTAGGGTAAGAGGAAGCTCTGACAATTAAATGTTTCCTGCTTTTTTCTCTGCTATGTTACCTGTTTTTAAATCAGAATGTTCACTGAGCACATATTTGAAAAGGATAAAACCAAACCATATTTCTTTGTAGGGTTTGTTTGTTTATTTACTACTAGAGGCACGATGCATGAAATTTGTGCACTCAGGGGGGTGTCCCTCAGCCTGGCCTGCGCCCTCTCACAGTCTGGGAGCCCTTGGGGGGTGTCCGACTGACAGCTTAGGCCCGCAGGGAGCAGGCCTAGGCCGGCAGTGGGAAAACATTAGTGCTGCCATGGAGGCGGGAGAGGCTCTTGCCACTGCCACTGCACTCACCAGCCATGTTCCCCCTGTGGGAGTGCACTGACCACCAGGGGGCAGCTCCTGCATTGAGTGTCTGCCCCCTGGTGGTTAGTGCGTGTCATAGCGACTGGTCAGTTTACATGTTAGCCTTTTATTATATAGGATTATTTTAACCTCATCTATTTGTTTCATGTGGGCCATGTGTTTGAATCATTAAGTCTCCACAGGAAATACAATAAAGTGAATTTTTTACTCTAAGGGAAGGAAAAACTAAAACCAAACCAAATTGGTTTTAGCAAGTATCTTAACTTTTTAATGTCTAATAGCCTCAGATTATAACTTAGATAATGTCTAATGGCCTCAGAATGACCTTATGAGAACTGGAAGAAACACCCGGGAGATAAGACTACAAACCCAATCCATGCGTTAGACTGCTCTTTCTGAGAAAGCCTCACTGGGGTGATGCATTTATTCCCAGTTCCCCGCAGCTGCTGTGCGATCTTGTGGCTGATGGTCCTCATCACCCACCTACCTCCAGGGCCCCGGGAAACCAGCCCAGCTCAGCTGCACTAAACTCCCACCTGGCAGTAATTGTCCTTTCTGGAGTATGTTTTGTAAGGTTCCGGACCCATTATCAATCTACATAGAAGAACAAAGGCTGTCATTGGATTTGATTAGTGTTAACCAAAGTACTGTGATAGCTCAAAAAATTACCTTTTTGAAATAGAAAAGGTCTCTCTCCTTCCCTATTCTACTATTTCCATTACATGAATTCCTTTCAGTTGTCAGAATTCTACTATAATTACAAATAATTTGAAAATGATGATCCTAATTTAAAGCTATTCTATAGCGTTGGTACACGTACAACCACCTGTGACGAAAGCAGAGCCACCAGAGCTGGTGTTTTAAAGTTGTAGAGCTGGCCAGGAAGCCAGGGGGGAAGACTGGCTGGTTCAAAAGCTGCTGAGGCAGTGTGCACATGACAATCTGCCATCAGCCATCCAAGGTTTTGCCTGCCCGAGAGTAAGGTGAGCACTCACCAACAGAATCCAGATGTGCTCGCTTTTCATCTGGAATGTATACCAAGTAGTAATACTCTGGCCACTGCCTTCACGTTCAGTAGAACCTTTGCATGCCTGCTGAATGCCTGTGTTCTGCCCCTTTTAGCCTCAAAGTGAGAGGGAGTGACTGCCTCAGAGGCCCAGAGAAGAAAGGGAGAAACTCAGAGATGTCTGAGCTTCTCTCCCATTCTGTATCTGGGCTTCTCTCTCTTAAACAGTTTCATTACTTGTTTCTTTTATTTCCTCTAAGCATATTTGATAGTTTTCTATTCTTAACTTTAAGGCACAAAATAGACTTTTATATTTCTCACTCCAAAATCACACAGTTACATCTCTTTTGAGTTGCATTATGGTCTTATTTTAACTGAGATTGCTGTCCTCAATACACACAAAACTTTCTACCCTTTCTCCATTTTACAGCATAAAGGAAAACCAACTAACAAAAATAATTAATTTGGCACTCTCTCTTGTCATCCCCCTCCCAATTCTTCTGTAATCTCAGGGAGAAGGTACAACTTCTCACCACATGGTATACCAGTAAAAAGAAAAAGAAAACAAGGAAACAGCAGAGGACAACCTATGAAATGGGTAAGTGGTCCCCAAATGATTTTACAGTGCTTTATTCTTAGCATTTTGCATGTATCTTTCTTACTCTATGCTTTTGAGATGATTCCCAAATTTCATAAGGAAATATAAGTCAGTCAGAGAAAGACAAATATGATATGATTTCACTTATATGTGGAATCTAGAAAGCACAATAAAAGAACAAACACAATAGAAACAGACTCATAGACACAGAACAGAATGACAGGTGTCAGACTTGTGGGGCCGGGTGAAAAAGGTGAAGGGATTGAGAAGTACAAATTGGTAGTTACAGAATAGTCATGGGGGTGAAAGCACAGCTTAGGGAACACAGTCAATACTGTAATAACTAAGTATGGTGCCAGCGAGGGGACCACTTTGAAAGTATCTGATTGTCTAACCACTATGCTGTAATACCTGAAACTAATATAAAATAATATTGAATATAAACTGCGATTTTTAAAAAACCAACCATTAGATGAGTAAGTACTTGAAGATGACAGGAAGTATTGGAAAGACATCTAGACAGGAGACACAAGCCCCAGCTAATTGACATCAATTGCCAATTGCAGTGATGGCGAACCTTTTGAGCTCGGCGTGTCAGCATTTTGAAAAACCCTAACTTAACTCTGGTGCCATGTTGCACATAGAGATTTTTTGATATTTGAAACCATAGTAAAACAAAGATTTATATTTTTGATATTTATTTTATATATTTAAATGCCATTTAACAAAGAAAAATCAACCAAAAGAATGAGTTCGCGTGTCACCCCTGACACGTGTGTCATAGGTTCGCCATCACTGGCCTATTGCATAGTCCTGGGGTAATCAATTCCATTATACAGAGGTGAAGCCTTCGTCAGTAAAGTATGGTGTATTATCAGCCCTCCAGATCGACTGTAAGGACCAAACGATAAATGTAAAACTTCTCTGTAACTTGCAAACAACAATAATAGCAGCAAACTGTTATCTTTATTATTATTTTTATAATACCTTCTATGTGCCAGATAGTATTTTAAATGTTTTCATCTGGAATTTATACAGATGAATAAATTCTTAACCCTTACACTAATGTTATAAGGTAGATACTGTTATTACCCCCATTCACACATGGGACAATGGAGACACATAGGCTAAATAACTTGTCCAAGATTTAAAAGGTGAGAGCTCTGATTCAAACCCGGGCAGTCAAACTTCAGAGCTCTATGCTTTACTATCTCTCTCTACAAAGCGGGGTTTAAATGAAGTTATCTCAGAAGAAAACTTGAAAACATGCTGCATAAAGCACACTTCCCTAAAGGAAAATCTTTATGGAGCAGTACGCATAGTTGACAGGGGCTACCAACGAATAGCTGAGTCCAGCAGGAGACGGTCATCATTCTTACATGCTTGGGGATTGAACAGTCTTGAAAGCCAATAGGTACTTAATATCACATTGGCATCATTATGCTGTGCTTAGATAAATATTTGGTGAAACTGTTCATGAGATCAAAATTCTGCAATTAAGGCAGTGGCTCTTCCAGGGCCCAGTGTAGGCTTTAATTGGAGTAAGACATATAAATTGTGAAATTTTTCTTTCATCTCACTATAGGTATATTGAAGACATTGACAACTGATTTTGGTGAACAAGGGAAGGGGGCCAGGGAGTTTAGTTATAAAGATGAATCTGTGTCCTCAATCACTCACCCATACCTGCTACTCGGAGAAAACCTATTGGCTTCTTTTTCTTTTTCTTTCCATTTCTTTCCCTTGTTGGAGTTCCTTCGCAACGGTGCCCTATAAAGGCAGACACATTCAGAAAAGAAAAGCTGACATGTTCTCCTTTAATCCTTCTTTTACAGAGGGCTTGCCTTTCACATCATGAAGTGCTTACCCCAGATCCACAAACTTCCGCTTAATTTTCCCTCCTTGTACCACAAATGAACTGGACGCCCTTAGGGATTTGAGACCTTTGGCACCATCTAGAATATGTACATATGTAAAGAAAGACTAGTTATTATTTTTAAAGCTATGAGTCAAAAGTAAGTGCATCTCTTTAAGAGATCTGACTCAATTTCTAACAATAAAAGAAAATAATGGATGCCTTTTTAAAAAAGATATAAGAAACCTAGCTATGCTGAGGAACATTCAGTAAAGCTAGAAGATGTCCTGATAGATCAAGGCCCGATACTCATCACAAAGAGCTTTAGCTTCAAAAATATTGAAATGAATAAAATAAGGAGGAATCAGCACTATCAAGTCACCTTTTACATTAACAGCAGGGACCAACATAACTTTCCTTTTGTTCCAGCCCTTGTATCTCTCAGGTCAGCACAGAAAGCCACCCCTGAGAGTCAGAGAGATTTAGGGAGGAAGTGATGGGCACAAAGATTTAGGGAGAAAGGAAAGATGGGGAAGGAAGCTCCCTGCTTTCCCTTCCGGCCTAATGGCCTGTGGCCAGTCCTGGGACAGAGGAAGGCAGAACATGGGGAAGGCTTTCTTGAGCGGGGACTCAGCTCTAGGACACTGATATCGTTGAAAGGTCTCTCTTTGAAGTTGGGTTGGAGTATAACTTGGTTGGCCTCCTGTGATGGCGAAGATGCAAAATGCTCCTCAGTGTCTGGAGCTGAATGATCTTCGCCCTGAGTTAAGCTGGCACTCCGAATGGTAGCAGCTGCTGGGGATGGGCACCTTCGAAATAATGCCCAAAACCAATCAGTGGAGAGACTCTGCGAATGGAGTTAGATTCCACTGGTGCAACTTGTTCCACTTCGGACAAGGTGGAAAACTCCCAAGGCTCTACCTGGAACCAGTTAGCAAAGGATGCTGTTTGGTATTATCTTTCAGCACATCCAGTTATCTGAGATGATTAGCAAAGGGTGTTTTAATATTGATGCATATTAGAGTGTGAAACTACTCCTCCCTAATTATTGCTGTCTATCTCTATCTCTTTAAAATTAAATAATTTCCAGCAACTTCCTGGCATGGAGTGCAGAGAGAATAGTCCTGTCCTCCTAAGAAAGTGTTCAATTAACCATGCAGGTTTATTTTTGTTTATTTCAGGAGAAATTTGTTAACATGCATCCTTACAAAACACACAGTTCTCATTTAGGAGTCTATGTTCAAAGCTCTAAAGAAGCACAGGATAGTAACAAACACTCTAAGGGTTCTTCTCAATGAGCTTTCCATATTCTTAGGTAGTGACACTCAGATTACAATTAATTCCTTGAAATGTACATAATAAAATACAAGAGTCATCCAAACCCACTTCTAATCTAAAATATTATGAGTATTTACATTGTTACTCTTTAGGTAACTGAATTAATCAGCCACAGATGTGACACAGACACATAAAGAAAATCCATGGACATGGCACAGATACCTTCTGAGGTGATTTTGCTAATGGACATTAAAAAAACTAAAAAGCAGGATTTCAATTCTCTTAAGAGAAGCCAGAGAAAAGAAAGTGTTGGATCCTTCCAGGTCAATCTTAAAGTAAGTCTTAATGGCTAGGACTGTGCAAAGTTAAAAAGGAGACTGCCTATTATTTTCTGAATTAGAGGTAGCTGAGATGGTGAGAGGACCAGATGAGACAATGTACTTGGATGCACTCTGTGACCTATTAGAGTGGCAGTTATTGGACCTCTTGGGACTAAAAGCCTGATTGTACCCATCACAGAGCCTGCTACTAGGCAACCTCACATCATTATCTCACACATTTGCCAAAGTGTGTTCCAAGGAACACTTATGTGAATGCCTTCAAAAAGCTAAAGAGGCAAGATTAAGTAACAATGCACTTGCCCATTTTAAATCAATCAAGTACCTTTTAATGGACATCAGAACTTCTAGTCTACATAAAAACCAACATTGGATCGTTAGATTTCAGGGGAAAAATAGAAATGTGACATTTTTTGTTTGTTTATGTAGCTTTATGTAAAATTCTATTAGGCTTTTTGAAATCTCTCCAATACTACCTTCATGAGCAATGAGAAGACTGCTGACCTGGTACTCATCTCCAAAGGCACTGAAAGAACTCCCGACAGCTAAATACTAAGGCTTTTCTGGACTTCATTCTCCTCCATCTCAGGGCAAAAGACTCTTGATTACCTCCAAGGCCTGGCTCCTCTCCTGAGTGTACAACCTCCTCTATTATAAAATGAGTTGATCATCTTTCCCCCATAACATTTCTGATTTCTTATTTTCTATTAAAGACAAGATCATATTTTCTGAGGCTAGAAACCTGTGATCAGTTTTGAACTCCTCACTTCCTTCCCCCTATATTAGCGGTTCTCAACCTGTGGGTCACGACCCCTTCGGGGGTGAAAGGACCCTTTCACAGGGGTCGCCTAAGACCATCGGAAAACACATATATGATTACATATTGTTTTTGTGATTAATCACCATACTTTAATTATGTTCAATTTGTAACAATGAAAATACATCCTGCATATCAGATATTTACATTACGATTCATAACAGTAGCTAAATTATAGTTATGAAGTAGCAACGAAAATAATTTTATGGTTGAGGGTCACCACAAAATGAGGAACTGTATTAAAGGGTTGCAGCATTAGGAAGGTTGAGAACCACTGCCCTTTATCTAGTCAACGTCTGTGTCAAAGATTCTTGCATCTTCACTGTTCCTCTTTAGAGGAGATCCCCTCAGAGTCTCTCCTAACTCATCTTTCCCATACCTAGTGTATTTTCATTCTTATTCCTCTGCTCAAACATCTTATGGTTTCCCAGTAAGGCAAGGTTCCTAAGGTGTTTAAATTCTACAATTGTAGACTCAACCTACTGTGCAATTATATGTGCACCCACTCTTAACACACATAAACAAATTGCTTCAGGCAGCCTGGGGCAGCCCCATTCCTTTAAATTCAGCTTACTTGTGCCTGTCTCTGGTAATGCCATCTCTCCCTGCTTGATCTGCCTTCCTTACCTACCATTTCTGCTTTTTCAGTGGTTACTCTATGTTTTTTTTTAACATCCTATTTGCCAACCTCAGCTGGATATAATCTTGCCCTTTTCTGAGCAATTATATATAAAGGCCTAATGCAATATATTAATAGTAAATGAATCCTGAAAATTGATCTACTTGCCAGGACATTAGTTCAACAAATATTTCTGAAGGTATGTCCTGTGTCAGGCAATGTGCTAATTGTTACATGTAAAATTAGAATAGTAATCTCTAGATATCACCAGTAGAAAACTGATAGTGTTTAATTTACTCTACTTAACCTTGTCTGAATAAAGGTCCATTGCTATATAAGTCTAGAGACCAGCAGTTCAGTATTAGGTTACTCAAAGAATAGGCATGAGGACAATATATTCATGCCTCCTATTATCATATAACTTGTTTTATAAATCTCTAGAAATAGTCTTTTACCTTCTCTAATTTTAACTCAAATGGGGTTAAACGTTTACCATTTAGCCAATTACAATGGGGCTTTTTAAATCTTAGTTTCTCCTAAGATCCCACAAATATGACAACAAAATGATGACTTGTGAATGCAGTATTAACTTGAGTTAGAAATCCTTCACTTCAATTAGGTGTTCAAGCACACCAGTGAGTTATCCTCAGGATAGCAATCCAATATAGCTATAACTTACTCACTAACTTTATAGTAAACTGACAGACCAAAAGCAGTGGTATATTACTGTTTTAAAAATCTAGATAAAGGGTAAACAATGGCTAAGACACTTTCAGAGTTTATCTGACAATGTTCAGTGGAAGGTAATATATGTCTAGACCAGGGGTCAGCAAGCTTTCTCTGCAAAAAAAATTTAGGTTTGTGGGCTCTTTGTGACAACTACTCAACTCTGCTCTTGTGCATGAAAGCAGAGAGCACCAAAGTACCCAGAAGACTTTATAAGGGCAGGTGGAGGCTGGATTTGGTGTGATGACCTCTGTTCTAGAAAACCTGCATTGGTTTTCTGCAGAGACATACTTAATTCATCCAAGACACTTAGTATGCATCAATTATATGCCTTACTTTTTGGGGGGACTAAGAATACAAAGATGAACATGATGAATGAGAAAACTGTGTCTCATACTTGACAACTAGATCACTTATCATACACAAAGGGATAGAAGCAGAAGTAACTGAAAATTTCTATGGGATCCCAGAGGAGAGAATAATTCCCTCCATCTGGGAATGGAAAGGGAGCCATGAAAGGAGGTGAGATATAAGCTGGGCTCTGAAGAAGGACTAGAAATTTCCTAGAATGGTAGGTAAGAATGTAAACGTGAAGTCTAGCTTGTACTTGTGAGTACTGCTAAACCTCATTCTAGTTCATTTAGTGATGAGCCAATGACTTGTAAGAACTACGTATCTAAACACACAGAGGGAAATCAAGTTAACCATATTTCACCTCTGTGCTGCCTAGGTCTGTATAGTGAATTAGTCTCACAGAGCAAGGAACTCCAGGATTTTACACAGTGCTATTCTCCAAATTGGGTTTTGAGAACAACAAAGCTAGATCCTACTCTGTGAATCTATATTGTATTGGAGCTTGAAATGTCACAAAATTGGAAGCACGGAATTTCCCTAATGTTTTAATGATACTGAGGTCCATCTTGGGAACTATGTAGGGAGAGTCCTTGAGGGACATGAAAGAGCTATAGGACTGGCGATGCTGCAATGAAACGAGCATTCATCAGTCAGCCAGTCTAATGAGAATATTCCGTACACACGTCCAGGTAACTTTAATTTTTTGCTCATTCTGATTTATGAATCTAACAACCAGGAGAGTACAAAACACATGAATGATGTTGGTTATTATATCAGTTGTACCTCCCAAAGTAAATAAAACAATTAGTATTCTGGTTCTTTCTAAGTTGAACAGTATGAATCAGTCCCTCTGAACTTGATTAAATCTTGGTGCATTATTGAGTTTCCAGACTTAGAACACTAAGGCCTAGAGTCTTGGCTCTCAAAACACTGACTTGATGAGAGTTTTTGAGGGTTTTCATCCTTGTGGAAGCAGGCCAAATTACACTGCAAGTCCTTCAACAACCTGACAACCACTTTTGATGAATTAGTGGGCTGGACATATTTTATTTCGCCTCCACTAGCATTTTGTCCTCCCTAAGTATTTAATTTTTATCTCAAAACTTCTAGAAGAGCTGTGCTTAGGACCAGTCTATGGAAGATAATTCCAGCAACTGATAATCTCAGGAAGGGAAACCAGGAGAAATATCAGAAGTAAAGCTATGATGCTTACCAACAGTTACAAAATAGAGTGAGCTCCCACAATCAACTATATTTCTATGTTCACCACAAATTGTAGAAAGATTAAATTTTGGATCTGGTACAGATAAATGAGTATAGACTTTTCAAAAATGCAGTGATTTGCAATCATAACTGCAATGTAGGAGTGTGTCTCATATCACTGCTGGCACTGGTTGGTGGGACTCTTGAAAGGTTTTGGCAATTTGATGGTATCTAATTTAAATGACAATCTCTCCATCATCTTTTTACATTTTATACATAATGCAGATTTACTCTTCAATGAATGGACAGTTTATTTCCTTAGCATATTTTTGGCTTTAAGAAAAATTACTTGACGCTATTTGTATATTAAAGTCTATTGATTAACTTTGTATATGTGGTCTTTTTATGTTTTTATCTACTGAAATCAAGACTATTTATATGATAGTTGCAGAGTTTAAAGAAAAAACAATAAAACAAACCTCCATTTCATTTGTCATCCCACTCCCACTGCAGTGTATACATATGAAGTCCTGTATGTACTTCCTTATTTCTACTCCCTGACATTCTCCCCATGTAACTAGCTTTGTCATACCCATTCATAACTTCAATATTGTGTTTGTATCTCTAAGTAATCTGCTAGTTTTGTTTAACTCTAAATCAAGAATCACATATATTAGTCTGTATTTACTTGTAACTTGCTTTTCAATGTCTTTTTCTAGAGATTCACCCTGTTGTAATGTTTCAGTGTGGTTTGTTCATTTTCCCCCTGCACAGTTCATTATAGGGATATACTACAACTAATTTATCTTTTTTTACTGGTGATTATTCTAGTGATTACCAGCTTTTGGTTGTTCCCAGGTTTTACTATTACATAACAGGACTGCTATGGATAGTCCTGTACATGATTCTTAGCAGACACGTGCAGGATTTCTTTTGGGTATATAAATAGGTAAAGATTTGCTGGGTAAGCACATTTTCAAATTTACTAGGTAATGCCAAATGGTTTCTAAAGAGCTTGTACCAATTTACACTTCCACCAGCAAATATCTGATTTATGGTTGTCTCACATATTCACCAGCATTTGGTAATATCAAATTATAATGTTTTTGGCAATCTGGTAGGTATAAAACAGTATCTCATTTGGTGTATTTCATACTTCCCTGATTAATAATGGGGTTGAACAGCTTTTTGTAAATATTATGGGCATTTGATTTTCATTTTCTATGAAGTGCCTGTTCAGGACGTTATACATTTTCCTCCTGGATTATTTGTCTCTCTTTTTTTTTAGGGCTTTATAGGAGTTATTTACACAATCTGGACACTAATCCTTTGTAAATTACATGGGGAGTAAATATCTTCTCTCAAGTTTTAGGGATTCTTTATTGTGTCTTTTGAGAAATAGGACTTTCTAGTTTTACTTTACCCATCTTTTCCTTATGATGTATGCTTTTTACATCTTGTTTAAGTAAACCTTCCCTATCCTGAAGTCACAAAATGTTCTCCTATATACTTTTTAAAGTTTTATAGTTTTGTATTATCTAATTAAGTACTGAATCATCTTTAAATGAAACTTCTACATGGTATATGTATATTATAATTTTTAAAAATATGTATAACCAAATTTCCAAGAACAATTTATTAAAAATGATTCTTTCTCTACCCATCTACACATGCAACTGTCATAAAATGTATGTGTATATGAAACCTGCTTCTAAGCTCTTTATTTTGTTTGTTTATTTCGATACCTCCGTATAAACAAAATGCAGGATTAAATAATTCCAGGTATCAGGTAAGCAATGCCCTCCACTTCAGTCTTCTTCAAGAGTTTCAGGTACTTTTGGCCTCATTTTCTTTCTATAAATTTAGAATTAGCCTGTCAAGTTCCACAAAATGTCTGTTGTACTGAATCTCCAGATAAGTATGGAGAGAAATGAGATTTCTTTTTTGCTATTCAATTTTTTAAATGACAAAAGAATTTTACAGTGAACAAACATATATCCACCCCCTAGTTTCTATAACTTTCATTTTGCTACATTTTCCTTATCATATAACCACCCCTCTAATCATCTATTAATCCATTCATTTTTTAATCCATTAATTTTTAATTGCATTTCAAAGTAAATTGCAGACACTTCACCCTTATACTTATCAAGGTATTGATTTTTACATATTTATTTTATATCATTTTTTTCAGATGTGAAAGGTAATACAGTTGACTCTTGAACAACATGGGTTTGAACTGCCTGGGTCCTCCCATACACAGATTTTTTTTCAACAAATATACAATCAGCCCTCTGTATCTTCAGGTTTTGCATCCGTGGATTCAACCAATCATGGATTAAAAACAGTATTTTTGATCTGCAGTTGGGAATCTATGGATATGGAAGGCCACCTATATGCCTTATTCTATACCACTTTGTATGAGATTTGAGCATTCACAACTTAGAGTATCTGTGGGGAATCCTGGAACCAATCTTCATGGATAGCAAGGGACAAATGTAGTTAAGTTTTTGAGAAGTCAAAAGTTATATGTGGATTTTCAACTGTGTGAGGGTCAGCACTCCTAGTCTCACATCATTCAAGGGTTACTATATAACCCAATATACTTGGTTACTTCAAAGGAACATGTCATATGTGGTAGAAAGAGCATGAATCTATTCTTTTTTTTTAATCTATGCATCATTTAACTTGTTTACACAAGAATTCGTTACATCTATAAATTAAAACACACTATTAAAAAGACAAAAGTGTACTGACACTACTTTGAAATTCTGGTGTTAATTCTAGAAGCCTCTTATAAAAATTAATTCACTAATTTCCCTGCATTACCTTTATCAGAGCTTTCTACCACATTTGCAATATAAATCATTATTGTGAAAATTTCTTCTGAATAAAAACCAAACTAATAGGTTATATCACTTTCATCTTTATATATATGTATATACATATATATACATATATATTTTTTTCTATATAACTATGTTAGTGTTTATTGAAACTCAGCTGCTATTCCACAAAATCTCTAGAAGGCCTCCTGAATAACATCCTTCATTAGTAAACTTGTGGAGAACTAAAGAAATAAAAATACTAACTAGTTAGAAAAAGATAAACATAAGTAAGTGGAAGAGGAATGTTCTTTTATTCCATAACATAAAAAAAGCAATATTAATTATTAGCTGTGAGAAGACAAAGAACTTAGGATTATGAGAAAAAAGTTATTTTTATATTACAGAAATCAAGGTGTTAATTAGACAAAATGAAATAAAAAAAATTGACAGTACCTTTTTCTTGTGCTATTTTCCTGGTGGTGGCTTGATGATGGCAAGGAGACTCTTCCATATCGTGATCAGATTTTGAAGGAGAGGAGAGTGAAGAGTCTCCCCAAGTACAGGAGGAAGGCTCCCTTTCTGGGTGCAGGGGTCCTTGAGAGTCAGTTATCTGGTCAGACTTGGAGAAGGGCACACTGACAGCCTCGGAAGTGAGGGATGGAGCACCAGAATCTGATTCTGGAGAAGAAGTTCGCAAACCCTTGGGCAGAAGTGATTTGGTAATATGCATGTGGTTACAGAAACTGTTTGAAGGCTGTCGATATAAGAGATTATAAAGGAGGTTATGCCACTGACCATCGGGTCCATGTAATACTTACTTTGAAATCAGATCGACCTTATTATTAGTGAATCCCCATGAAAACCAATTTTGTTTGTTGGTTTACAAATGAGACTCGATAGTTCACAAAGACTCACCATATGACCATTGTAACTAACACAGGCACCTAAGACATATAGGAACAATTATTTGTACATTCATTGTTTCCTACTAGGTAGAACCAACTGCTGAATATCAAAAACACCATCATGAAATATGACAATGTGGATAATACTCTTGGTTAGTTTACTGAATGAGTATAGAAAGAATTTGAATTACAACAATGTATTGAGTTGAATAAGGATTTTTGGAGACAAAAAAAGTGAACTATTACAGCTATTTCAAATGAGGCCATAGAATCTGGTTGCAGAAAAATCAATAAACTGCAGGAACAAGGATAGAGCCCAACACTGTAATCAGGAAATGGTCAAGGGCACTCACCTTTCGCTCTAGGCTGTCCTCCCCGTCTGTTGAACTGACACTATCATAAAGTCTTGTCCTAGAGGGCCTCTGGCGTCGGTTCTTCACGGACAGCTGGGCTCGGGTTTTCAGGGCTTTCGAATCCAGGCGCTCTGTCTCTGGGACTGCTTCATTCAAGTCTAAGAAAAGACCATTGCAAAATAATCAGGGAGAGAAACCTTTGGAGAGGATTGATAAAGAGACCACAGACACTGATAACAAAATCTTACGGTTATCAGTAACACCAGGCAGGAAACCATGATGGCCTGTATAATAACCCACAGGTAACAAAAAATATGTATTTAAAAAAAGGGAGATCTAGGAGAAGTGTACAAAGTTTTAGGGAGAAAAACCAACACTAAAGGTGACCAAGGCAACAACAAAAATCTAACATCCAAAAAGCATAAAGCCTTCCTAAAACATAATTATAAGAAGCACTGATTTGCATTTACTTATTTATGTGTCTGCATGCTGGAGTGTTTGATGAACAATATATAAGGGGGAAGGTCTATGAAAGTTGGGAGATCTTAGAAACTAAGGACAAAAACCTAAGCAGGTCAGGTGTCACGTCAAGTACAGGTAATAAAAGATGAGCATCGGTGTAAATTTTCTTTAGCAAAAATTACTATTAGGCTTTTATCTTTTTCCTTTTACCTTTTCAGAGTGGCAGTCATTAAATGAAATCATGCTGTTCAAGAAATTAATAATTAAGTACTTCTGGGTTTAAATTATTAAAATAAAGCAAATAATGGAGTCGCAAAAAATAAGTACTGATATTAATAGAATAAAACAATTTCTTACAGTAGCGGTACCCCAGGAAATTCCTTATCACAATAAAGATAAAGGTGTACGCTGAATATATTATATTACAAAACCAAAACAAGTAAGCACCTCAGGTTGTACCTCTCTTATGTATGGAAGTTAGCAACTGGCATATGATTCTAACATATTTTTCCTTAGGAGATACACCTATTGAATGACAATATTTAAAGAAGATTTTGACTTTTCATTTCCCATATTTGAAAGAAAAGTGAATATACAGAAAAGTCAGACCATTCAGTTCTATATAAAGGACAGCTAAATATTTTATAATTAGTCGTCTCTTTATGTTTTTACTTGTCAATGGAGGAAAGAAATCTCCTTTATTACTTTCATTTCCTCCTTCCAATAAAATCTAAACTTGCAGCTGCCCATTAAGAATTCATCAATTTTTATAACTGGGGGAGAATCAACCTTACAAGCTCTTGTTTACATAAAAAACGTGGAAACACCAGATAGATGAAAGCAATAATATAACCAGATATACTGTCATACATGCTTATCTGATTCATACTTGGATTTTATGTTCTTTGACACGAAGTCCTATCACATACACCATCTCATGTGTCCTCACAACAGCTCCAAGAGACAAAGCAGCCAAGTATGTTTTCCCTCCCCTGAGCTCAGAGAACTTGAGTAACTTGCAGTCATCTACATAGCTAGCTGATGAGCTGCCACGACCATTCTAGCTTTTGGACTCCCAGGCTACTACTCTCCAATTTAGTTAGTGTTGAACAAGATACAGAGTAAGATTTTAATGGCATTAGAGTCTAGTATTTTCCCTTGTAAAATCACATTTGGTGTGACTGGAAATTCACTTCTGGGAAATTAACTTCTCCAACAGGCTATGTAAGAAACATTACCATTAACCTTTCACATAGGTGTTAAGAGAGCATTAAAAAGGGAAGACATTGAAAACTGTGGGAAAAATGATTTCTCAGACCATTTCTTATTTGGTTGGTTTAGTAACAGCTTTGGCTACTTGGTGACAAAAAGACCTAAGGAGGAAGGTCATTCTACTTTTGTAAATATGGCTCCTCTTGCAATAGAATCCTGGCCCCAGTGGACCCAGCACAGCACTCAACTCCATCACTAGGTACTGAACAACAGAGCGAGGGAACAGGAGAACTACTTATTCGCAGGGTTTAGACCAGCGGTTCTCAACCTGTGGGTCGTGACCCCTTTGGCGGTCGAACGACCCTTTCACAGGTGTCGCCTAAGACCATACTGCATATCAGATATTTACATTACGATTCATAACAGTAGCAATATTACAGTTATGAAGTAGCAACAAAAATAATTTTATGGTTGGGTCACAACATGAGGAACTCTATTTAAAGGGCCAGAAGGTTGAGAACCACTGGTTTAGACTATAGATCATTTATTCTGGGACTTCTGACTCCATTACTATTCAGTAATTTGCCAGGTCCTGGTGTCAGTCAATTGCCAAATGGCAATCTGGTACATCTGCTTTAGTATCAGCTAGCACTGACTCGGTTCAACCCACTGGAGGTCACACATGGAACTACAGCTTTTAAAGATGAAGTCAGCTGGGATCTGAAAAGCACTGCCTTAAATCCATGATCCAAGTGGCCAAAAGCATGGTACCCAATAAACAATTTTTGAGTGTCTAGAAACAAAGAACTCGGGGCCACTCTATAGTAGTGATTCATGGATTACAAATCAGTCATTTATGTTCCAATTGATTAAAAAAAAAGTTTTAAAGTACGAAAACTGTAAAAATGGAATGTAGCTGATAACATTCACTTCAACAGCTCTTATACCAGAAGGAACTTGGAAGCAATGTTGCCCAGGAGACATCACAAGTAACCACCCTTAGCCCCCTTAGGAGTATTACAGGAGATGAGAGAAATAGTAGGAAATGTGTATAGGACTTACGCTTCTGGGTACTGGAAGTGATCTGTCCAACCACTATAAGCTATCTTTTCTAGCATGTCATATAAGAATCAGAATATTATAATTCAAAAGATTCTAGCCCACCCGTCTTTCTCAGGAAAACTAAGGCTCAAAGGTTACTAACTTCTCTACTAACTGTAATGCACAGTTAGTCTGTAGAAGAGACTGCATAGAGTTCAGTTTCAGAAGCTTATCGTACGAGAAGGTCTCTCTCAAGTCTGAAAGTAAACTTCACAGGTAATCTGCCTTCTTCAAATCCTCTTTTTAGTCTTACTTTATGTTTCAAACAAAAATACATGTCCAGGGCTAACTTTGCAAATTCCCAGAAGTATATAGTGCCAGAAGAAAAAAAAAAGTAGGGATTTCATTTGGCTTTATCTTTATTCAAGAAATAAAATTCTTAAAGAAAACAACAACTATCTGTCAAAATTTTGTGGATGGTGATGTGGCAGGAGAAATGTGACTGGCTTAATGATGTAAGCTGTGTGCTACTAATGTAAGGGCTCAGATGGCCATGCTCACTCACTGCCATTCATTCTCTACAGAGATCGTAATCAATAGCACAACATTGCTCTTAGGAAGCCAAGGCTCTGGGTTCCTCCTCTGCCGCTTCTCTCCAGGGCACCTTGCTCTGTTGTCCCTAAAAATTAGAGGGAATTTTTATTTTCCTTTCCCCTTTCTTCTCTATTCTTTCTTTCAGACCCTCTAGTCTCTAAAATAACCTTTTTCAGACTCAAATTCTACTAATATACAAAAGAAGAGCGGACTCGAGTGAATCAATACACATAGAGAGACAGATACAGAAAAGATACGAAGTAGCTGATGATAAAGCAGTTTTGAGTGGGTTGGACTCCGCTTCAAAATACCTGCATCTTAAGAATAGTCTTCTTATTGCTTTGAATTGGATCCTCCAGAGTAATTTAATGCATTTGAATATGATTTTAACAACTGTTATGAAAAATGTTCTGTGAAATTAGGATGCTATATATCATATTTCACAGAGATCTGCTCCCTAAAGTAATGCTCTGAGTCATTCAGTTTTTTTCACCAGATTGACGTTATTTTTGACGTAAATGGAATGCTGCCCACGGATCCGACACAGACGGCGGCGGGGAAGTAGGGGAATGGAGCAGCATGACAATAGGGTCTGCTCCGCATTCTTATGTGCATTCTTCTCCTCAAAAACAGTCAGACCTTAGACCATCACGCTGCCTGGCTTGTGCTATTATCAACAGAAATGCTGAGCATAATGAGACACTTGGTGACATTTTTAAACTTGAACACTATCTGCAAATTCATAAAAGATGGGCCCATGGGGCTTTGGGTTCATACACACAGCATTCAGAGGCAGGTTTATGTATTGCACGAGGGCAGTGCAAAACAGTTACCTAGGGAGTAGCCCTGGAGTTAGTCTTCCTTGAATAGAACCCAGAACAGTGGCTCTGCCACTCAATTGAGTAATAGACCTAAACTCTCTGTCCTTCAGAATCCTCAATTGCAAAACTGGCATGATAATAACATATCACAATAATACTTGCATTTTATGAGGACTAAAGGCATAAAAAGATATATAAATGCTTAGAAGAATGACTGGTACATGATAGTCACTCCGTAAATGTCTTTATTTACTGACAATGAAAAGGTTAGCAAGATATTCTTAAGTGACGAAAGCAAGTTGCAGACAAAGGTCTTTATGGCTTATACAAAGATAGATGTCAAACTTGCACAAAACTTGACAGGCACTTCAGGTGGTTTGTTTTTTGAGTGAGAGGACAGAATTCGGCTTTAAAGGTTTGCCAGAAAACAATCAGTAAAGATTGATTTCTCGTTCATTTGGTTTGTTCATTAAAATTTTCCATAGTGATTTACTGGGAGTGTTCACCCATTAATTAGTACAATTCAGTAATATCCCATGGCCAAAATTATTTATCTGGAATTTAGAGCTATTGAAAATAATTTGTTCTGGAAAAAAAAATGAAAATTGTGCAAGTTTACTGAGAACTTGTATCTGAATTCAGAATAAAGTGAGTTTGGATCTACTCCAGAATTCTCCTCCACCCCAATTTAGAACTAAACAATAGGACGACATGGAATAATCACCTCATTGCTCTGTATCTAGCGCTGTCCGTTGTATAAGACACTCCTGATATTCTAGTGCAAGCGTCCTCCCTTTCCTTTTAATGACTTTGCCTGTAATGCAGCCTGGCTTTAATCATGCCTTGAACTTTATTTTAAAATGCTGGGTTCCAATGCTAAAAATGACTCCATCAGGAAATACATCAGAGCAGGGGTAGGGGTCTGGCCGGCCTCAGAGCCACAGGGATCTGAAAAGAACCACTGCCACTACAGGCACAGGGAAAGGCCAAAGGACAGGGGCCTGGTTCTGGCCGCGGCAGAAAACGAT